AAGAACCCTGAAGATGGGCCAAGGTGGCCTCAGGAGGGCTTTGGTGGTCCTCGGGGACAGACTAAGTGGCCCTGGGGACATCTCAAGTGGCCTTGGGGACATCTCAAGTGGCCTCGGGATGGATCATGGTGGCCCAGGGTGGCTTAGGTGGCCCCAAGGATGGGTGAAGGTGGCCTTGGGTGGCCCAAAGAACTCTGAAGATGGGCCAAGGTGGCCCCAGGAGGGCTTTGGTGGCCCTTGGGGACACCTCAAGTGGCCCTTGGGGACATCTCAAGTGGCCTCGGGATGGGTCATGTTGGCCCCAGGGTGGCTTAGGTGGCCCCAAGGATGGGTGAAGGTGGCCTTGGGTGGCCTAAAGAACCCTGAAGATGGGACAAGGTGGCCCCAGGAGGGCTTTGGTGGCCCTTGGGGACATCTCAAGGGGCCTCAGGATGGGTCATGGTGGCCCCAGGGTGGCTTAGGTGGCCCCAAGGATGGGTGAAGGTGGTTTTAGGTAGCCCAAAGAACCCTGAAGATGGGCCAAGGTGGCCCCAGGAGGGCTTTGGTGGCCCTTGGGGACATCTCAAGTGGCCTTGGGGACACCTCAAGGGGCTTCAGGATGGGTCATGGGGGCCCCAGGGTGGATTAGGTGGCCCCAAAGATGGGTGAAGGTGGTGTCGGGTGGCCCAAAGAACCCTGAAGATGGGACAAGGTGGCCCCAGGAGGGCTTTGGTGGCCCTTGGGGACATCTCAAGTGGCCTTGGGGACATCTCAAGTGGCCTCGGAATGGGTCATGCTGGCCCCAGAATGGGTGAAGGAGGCCTTGGGTGGCCCAAAGAACCCTGAAGATGGGACAAGGTGGCCCCAGGAGGGCTTTAGTGGCCTTGGGGACATCTCAAGTGGCCTTGGGGACATCTCAAGTGGCTCTAGGGACACCTCAAGGGGCCTTGGGATGGGTCATGGTGGCCCCAGGGTGGCTTAGATGGCCCCAAGGATGGGTGAAGGTGACCTTGGATGGCCCAAAGAACCCTGAAGATGGGACAAGGTGGCCCCAGGAGGGCTTTAGTGGCCTTGGGGACACCTCAAGTGGCCTTGGGGACATCTCAAGTGGTCTTGGGGACACCTCAAGTAGCCCTGGGATGGGTCATGGTGGCCCCAGGGTGGCTTAGATGGCCCCAAGGATGGGTGAAGGTGGCCTCGGGTGGCCCAAAGAACCCTGAAGATGGGCCAAGGTGGCCCCAGGAGGGCTTTGGTGGCCCTTGGGGACATCTCAAGTGGCCTTGGGGACATCTCAAGTGGCCTCGGAATGGGTCATGCTGGCCCCAGAATGGGTGAAGGAGGCCTTGGGTGGCCCAAAGAACCCTGAAGATGGGACAAGGTGGCCCCAGGAGGGCTTTAGTGGCCTTGGGGACATCTCAAGTGGCCTTGGGGACATCTCAAGTGGCTCTAGGGACACCTCAAGGGGCCTTGGGATGGGTCATGGTGGCCCCAGGGTGGCTTAGATGGCCCCAAGGATGGGTGAAGGTGACCTTGGATGGCCCAAAGAACCCTGAAGATGGGACAAGGTGGCCCCAGGAGGGCTTTAGTGGCCTTGGGGACACCTCAAGTGGCCTTGGGGACATCTCAAGTGGTCTTGGGGACACCTCAAGTAGCCCTGGGATGGGTCATGGTGGCCCCAGGGTGGCTTAGATGGCCCCAAGGATGGGTGAAGGTGGCCTCGGGTGGCCCAAAGAACCCTGAAGATGGGCCAAGGTGGCCCCAGGAGGGCTTTGGTGGCCCTTGGGGACATCTCAAGTGGCCTTGGGGACATCTCAAGTGGCCTCGGAATGGGTCATGCTGGCCCCAGAATGGGTGAAGGAGGCCTTGGGTGGCCCAAAGAACCCTGAAGATGGGCCAAGGTGGCCCCAGGAGGGCTTTGGTGGCCCTTGGGGACATCTCAAGTGGCCTTGGGGACATCTCAAGTGGCCTTGGGGACATCTCAGATGGCCTCGGGATGGGTCATGGTGGCCCCAGGATGGCTTAGGTGGCCCCAAGGATGGGTGAAGGTGGCCTTGGGTGGCCCAAAGAACCCTGAAGATGGGCCAAGGTGGCCCCAGGAGGGCTTTGGTGGCCCTTGGGGACATCTCAAGGGGCCTCAGGATGGGTCATGGTGGCCCTACGGTGGCTTAGATGGCCCCAAGGATGGGTGAAGGTGGCCTTGGGTGGCCCCAACTGGTCTGGGATGAGCCACGTGGCCCTGGGCTGGCTCAAGTGGCCCTTGAGGACATCTCAAACGTGAGATGAGACCTTGGGGACCCTCCATGAGACCCTGGGGACCATCCAGAAGGTCCTACCCCAGAGGACCATCCATGGTTCCTCAAGGAGGACATCAATGAGACTCCAAGGATGTCCAATAGACACCCTGGGGCCATCCATAAGACCCCAGAGACCGTCCAAGTGGCCCTTGGGGACATCTCAAATGGCCTCGGGATGGGTCATGGTGGCCCCAGGGTGGCTTAGATGGCCCTGAGGCCACCTCAGGAGGACTCCAAGGGCTCCAGGAATGGGTCAAGTGGCCCTTGGGGACATCTCAGATGGCCTCGGGATGGGTCATGGTGGCCCTACAGTGGCTTAGGTGGCCCCAAGGATGGGTGAAAGTGGCCTTGGGTGGCCCAAAGAACAATGAAGATGGGTCATGGTGGCCCCAGGAGGGCTTTGGTGGCCCTTGGGGACATCTCAAGGGGCCTCAGGATTGGTCATGGTGGCCCCAGGGTGGCTTTGATGGCCCCAGAGCTGGGCCACGCTGTGCCAAGAGGCCTCAAGTGGCCCCGGGGAGGGGCCAAGTGGCCACAAGGAGGCCTCAAGTGGCCCAAGGCCGTCAACTCTTGACCTGTCCCACCTTGATCTCGATCTGCTCCTCCATCTCCTTGTTCTTGAGGGCGGCGTATTCCTTCTCCAGCCTGGACGGGGGGAGAAACGGGGACAAACTGGGAGACCAGGACTTGGGTGGGATGGAGAGAGGACACCAGAAGCCACCTGGGCTTGTGGCCCCGTGGCTACTGGGTTGGGTGAAGGGGGGGGACACCCCAAGAACCCGTCTTCTCCATCTCACCTCTTCATCTTCTTGGGGTTGTACTTGACCTGGAAGGCCCTGAGGATGAGTTTGTCGGGGCAACTGTCGAACTGGTGGGGAATCACCTTCTGGAAATACTGGGAGGAAACTGGGGGTGAAATGGGGGCCCCGCCCCGGAGACAACCCCCGGGGAGTGGGGAAAATGGGGAAAACCACCCCAAAAAATAAGGCCCCGATGGCTCAAGTCGCCCCCAAGAAACGCCCTCGTTGAGTAAATCCAACCCAAAACGCCATTTCTTGAGTCAAGCGGCCCCAAAACGCGACGTGTCGAGTCTAAAATGGCCTGAATTTGCCCCAAAAGACCATCCGTTGGACAAATTTGCCCCCAAAACATCATCCGTTGATTAAATCTGCCCCAAAAACGCGTCCCATTGATCGAATCTACCCCAAACCACGTCCCGTTGGCCAAATCCACCCCAAAATGTGATCCGTTGGAGGAATCTGCCCCCAAAACACGTCCCGTTGACCAAATCTGCCCCAAAACACACGGTCCATTGGCCAAATCCACCCCAAAACATGATCCATTGGATGAATCTGGTCCAAAACCACGTCCTGTTGGCCAAATCCAGGCCCAAAACCACATCCTGATGGACAAATTCACCCCCAAAACACACCCCGTTGATGAAATCTGCCCCAAAAAACATGGCCCATTGGATGAATCTGGTCCAAAACCACATCTCGTTGGCCAAATCCACCCCAAAAACATGGTCCATTGGCCAAATCCACCCCAACACACATCCCGTTGCCCAAATCCACTCCAAAATGTGATCCATTGGCCAAGTCCACCCCATAACATGGCCCATTGGATGAATCTGGGCCAAAACCACCTCCCGTTGGCCAAATCCACCCCATAACATGATCCATTGGCCAAATCCACCCCAAAAAACGTGATCCTTTGGATGAATCTGGTCCAAAACCACGTCCTGTTGGCCAAATCCTCCCCCAAATATCGTCCATTGGATGAATCTGGTCCAAAACCACGTCCCGTTGGCCAAATCCAGCCCCAAAACATGTCCTGTTGGATGAATCCACCCCAAAACATGATCTATTGGATAAATTCACCCCCAAAACACACCCCGTTGATAAAGTCTGCCCCCAAAAACATGGTCCATTGGATGAATCTAGTCCAAAACCACGTCCCGTTGGCCAAATCCACCCCAAAAAACATGGTCCATTGGCCAAATCCACCCCAAAAACATGGTCCATTGGCCAAATCCACCCCAAAACACGCCCTGTTGGACAAATCCACCCCAAAACACAATCTATTGGACAAATTCACCCCCAAAACACAACCCGTTGATGAAATCTGCCCCAAAGAACATGGCCCATTGGTCAAATCCGCCCCAAAACACGTCCCATTGGCCAAATCCACCCCATAACATGGTCCATTGGCCAAATCCACCCCAAAAACATGGTCCATTGGCCAAATCCACCCCAAAAAACATGGCCCATTGGATGAATCTGGTCCAAAACCACGTCCCGTTGGCCAAATCCACCCCAAAACCATGTCCTGTTGGCCAAATTCACCCCCAAAACACACCCCGTTGATGAAATCTGCCCCAAAAAACATGGCCCATTGGATGAATCTGGTCCAAAACCACATCTCGTTGGCCAAATCCACCCCAAAAACATGGTCCATTGGCCAAATCTGCCCCAACACACGTCCTGTTGGACAAATCCACCCCAAAACTCGATCTATTGGACAAATTCACCCCCAAAACACACCCCGTTGATGAAATATGCCCCAAAAATCATGGCCCATTAGATGAATCTGGTCCAAAACCATGTCCCGTTGGCCTAATCCACCCCAAAACCACGTCTCGTTGGCCAAATCCACCCCAAAAAACACGATCTATTGGATGAATCTGCCCCAAAACACGTCCCGTTGGCCAAATCCACCCCAAAACATGATCCATTGGATGAATCTGGTCCAAAACCACGTCCCGTTGGCCAAATCCACCCCAAAACCATGTCCCGTTGGCCAAATCCACCCCAAAACCACGTCCTGTTGGTCAAATCCACCCCAAAACACACCCCGTTGATGAAATCTGCCCCAAAAAACATGGCCCATTGGACGAATCTGGTCCAAAACCACGTCCCGTTGGCCAAATCCAGCCCCAAAACCACGTCCTGATGGACAAATCTGCCCCGAAACACATCTCGTTGGCCAAATCCACCCCAAAAACATGGTCCATTGGCCAAATCCACCCCAACACACATCCCGTTGCCCAAATCCACTCCAAAATGTGATCCATTGGCCAAGTCCACCCCATAACATGGCCCATTGGATGAATCTGGGCCAAAACCACCTCCCGTTGGCCAAATCCACCCCATAACATGATCCATTGGCCAAATCCACCCCAAAAAACGTGATCCTTTGGATGAATCTGGTCCAAAACCACGTCCTGGTGGCCAAATCCAGCCCCAAAACCACGTCCCGTTGGCCAAATCCACCCCAAAACCACGTCCCGTTGGCCAAATCCACCCCAAAACCACATCCCGGGGCCTAATTGCCCCCCAAAACCCAACTCCCCCCCACCCGGGCCCGTACCTGGGACATGCCCTCCATGTCCAGCTGGACCAGCTCGGCCTGGTTGAACTGCAGCAGCGCCATCCCCACGCGGAAGACGATCTCCAGCCCCTACGGGAAGGGTCCACCACCTCTTGACCCCCTCCCAACCCCCACATTTTGGGGATTTCTTCTTCTTCTTCTTCCCCCCACCCCACCAAAACCCCAGACCAGTTGGAACTGGGAGAAGGTTTCCACACCCCAACTGGGAAAAGGTGGTGGGGGTTCCCCTTGGTGATTTATGGAGGATCTTTCTTCGTTACCTCGTACATGAAGATGTCGAAGACGCGGGTGGCCACGGGGAGGGGGAAGGTGGTGAGGAAGAGGGTGAGGAACCAGGAGGAGGCGTACATGGAGGTGAGGAAGCTCTGGGAGCGGAAGTGGACGTTCAGCTCCGGCAGCTGCTCCTGGATGGAAACAAAATGGTGGAAATGAGGAGAAACGGGGAAGGGTGGATGGTTTTAGGGCTTCGTTCAGGTCCAGGAGGGCTCGTGGAGGTCCCTGAGGGGGTCTCATGGCAAGGCCTCCAAGGAAGGACCCTCTGGATGGTCTCTGGGGTCTCATGGATGGCCCCAGGGTGTCTCTTGGACATCCTTGGAATCTCATTGATGTCCTCCTTGAGGAACCATGGATGGTCCTCTGGGGTAGGAGCTTCTGGATGGTCCCCAGGGTCTCATGGATGGTCCCCAAGGTCTCAGGGAGGGTCCCTGGGGTCTCAGGGAGGGTCCCCGGGATCTCATGGGGGGTCCCTCAGGGCATCTGGTGGATGCTTCCTGGGGTGTCTCATAGACAATCCCTTTGGGTGTCTCATGGATGGTCTCCAGGGTCTCATGGAGGTGCCCTGAGGTCTCAGGGATTGTCCTCAGGGCGTCTCATAGACAGTCCTCTCAGGGACAACCTTCTGGATGACCCCAGGGTCTCATGGAGGGTCCCCAACATTTCATGGAGGGTCCTCGGGGTCTCATGGAGGGTCCCTGGGGTACGACCTTCTGGATGGTCTCCAGGATCTCATGGATGGTCCTTGAGGTCTCATGGATGGTCCCCAGAGTCTCATGGGGGGTTCCTCAGGGCATCTGGTGGATGCTTCCTGGGGTGTTTCATTGACAATCCCTATGGGTGTCTCATGGATGGTCTCCAGGGTCTCATGGATGGTCCTCAGGGCGTCTCATAGACAGTCCTCTCAGGGAGAACCTTCTGGATGACCCCAGGGTCTCATGGAGGGTCCCCAAGGTCTCATGGAGGATCCCTGGGGTCTCATAGATGGTCCCCGAGGTCTCATGGAGGGTCCCTGGGGTCTCATGGGGGGTCCCTCAGGGCATCTGGTGGATGCTTCCTGGGGTGTCTCATGGACAATCCCTTTGGATGTCTCATGGATGGTCTCCAGGGTCTCATGGAGGTGCCCTGAGGTCTCAGGGATGGTACTCAGGGCGTCTCACAGACAGTCCTCTCGGGGAGGAACTTCTGGATGACCCCAGGGTCTCATGAAGGGTCCCCAGGATCTCATGAAGGGTCCCCAAGGTCTCATGGATGGTCCCCA